TATTTATGGAATTAACTTATTTATTGAGTTACAAGTTCCGAAAATAATATTTAATTTTTTTTTTTTGGATTTTTCCATTTATTTTGCATTTTAAAATTATTTTTTAGAATATGTACAGTGTAATATTCTATTAGAATATTTCACATATTTTTTTAAAAAAAAAATGAGATTTTTTTTAGTTAATTCATGTTCCGAAAATAATATTTATAAAAAGAATTTTTAGATTTTTCCATTTATTTTGCATTTTAAAATTATTTTTTAAAATATTTACAATGTAATATTCTATTAGAGTATTTCACGTATTTTTCAAAAAAACGGGATTTTTTTAATTTTTAATTTTTATTTATTTTTATTTTTTTTTATTTTTTTTTATTCAATTCAAGTTTTGAAATTAATATTTAAAAAAAGAAATTTTGGATTTTTCCATTTATTTTGCATTTTAAAATTATTTTTAGATTTGGTCTCACGGTCTCACAAAATTAAAATGATCTCAAATAAACCTAAACGTATATATATATATATATATATATATATATATATATATATATATATATATATATATATATATATATATATATAGTGATAATAATAAGTCATGACATGCTCGGTGCTTCATTTGTGTATCGAGGAAGTGACCCAATATGTTAGTCACATTTTTATAGTTGTTATTTTTGGTCACTTAACTTTTGGTTTTATGTTCATTTGATCACTTAATTATTTTTAAGTTTTATAATATCATCAAACTTTTGATTCTGTACTCATTTAGTCACTTAGTTTTAGATTGATCACATTTAATCACTTAACTCTTAGATTTGTGCTCATTTAGTTACTAACTTTTAAAATTATGCTGATTTAGTCACTAAACTTTTTAAAATTAAAAAGTTTAGTGACTAAATCAGCATAATTTTAAAAGTTAGGTGACTAAATGTGATCAAACTAAAAATTAAGTGACTAAATGAGCACAACACCAAAAGTTTGATGATCTTTTAAAACTTAAAAAGAATTAAGTGACAAAATAAGCAAAAAATCAAATCAAAACTTAAATGACCAAAAATTATCAAAACTCTTTCACATAAACCAATAATACTATTTTTTTTTTTTTTTTTGAACGGCAAGAATACATTTGTTGTTATGAGTCTCTCATGTGTACTCATCAATTCGTTAAATACTCATTGGCAATTAACATTCCTTTAAGTATGCAATTTTGATATTCAATCTTATATGTCATTTTGGTCATAGTGTATACTCCTGTTGTTATTACCGATTTGTCATTTCTTCTTCCGTGTTCTTTGCGTTGACATTTTTGCATGACATCTTTTATGTTTGATACTATTCTCTGATTCTGTGATATGTACGGGCTATTGTGGCCTTGTGGGTTTCTTTGTGGAGTTTTTGAGTCGGGCTATACAATCCCTAACTGATCCCTCTCTTTCTTTAAACTTTCTCTCCAACACGTGGTTTCTTTTGTTTTCAATTCCATTCACAATTAAAGGTATGCATATGACATTATCACTATTCAACCCACGATAATTTTGTACTTTCTTTTTTGTTTTTTGTTTTGTTATATATTTTTGTAAACATTTCATTCAATTTCAATGCATGAATCGTAAACCTTTTATTTTTTTTCTTTAATTATTTTAGAACATTTTTTTGTTTTAAATTAGTAAAAGTTTTTTTAAATAAAAAGAATATAATGTTTTATTTTATTTTATATTTTTTAATTTAGTTAAATAAAAAATATTGATATAACAAGTGGATTGAGTGAGTTGGGAATGATGGAAGATAAGGAATAAAGGAAAATGATGATGTGGAATTGTGAGTTGAATGGATTAGAAGGGAAGGACTATTTCATCTCTTAAACAGTTAGTGGTTTAAACATTTTTTTTTCTTTTTATGTACATTTTAGGAAAGTCATGAAAACGTATCACCAAGACTTTTGGGTGCCTTGTAACATCATATTGGAAGACTTTAGATCACTTTTAGAAGACTTTAAGTAGTGATAACTTCTAATAAATGCCTGCAAGATAATTATGCCTAAGATACATGTTTTTGGTAATGTAAACATAATATTTAGTGAAATGGTTTCAAACACATCTTACCAGGCTATATCTTGGTGCTTGTGGTGATATTATGAGTGATAGAGTGATCATGTAGATTTATGTATATTATAATGAAGATAAGTAATATGAATAAGTGTATGTAATATTAATAGGTTCCTGACACACGAGAAGAAAAATATGGTATGAAAAGAATCGTATTTTAGTTACGTGTATGAATTATTGAGCATAAGTTTAAATTTTGTTTCACTATAAAATTATGTACCTTTATTAATCAATAAAATTTAATCTAATATTGATTTATAAAGGTAAAATTAGACTAAACTTTATTGATTTATAAAGGTACATAATTTTACAATGAAACAAAATTTAAACTTTATTTGTATAATCTCTTTACGTTTTAGATATACGAAAGAAAATTTTCTTATCACTACCACATCATTATCTTATCAAGTTATTAGTCAAATATATAATAACAATAACAAAACCAAGTCTCATAAAAGTTAAGTTAAATGAAAAATTAAAATGGCCGACACTAAATAACTTAAATTTATTTGATTTCACATAAATGAAACATATCCATCTTTTTTATTGGTCAAATCAAACGAACTTTGGTTTGGCACGCAATGCACTAAGTGAGTTTGATTCAAATATTTAAGAGTCAAACAAATATCATATAAATGCTACGGAGTATTATGAAACAAAATCGTTTTTAGTTGCATCTTTTAATTAATTATTAAAAAGATGAATAAACAATATTGAAATGAGATTCGTCAAAAATAAAGTTTGAGGGAAAGAGGGAAAGGAAGGGATGAGTTTACTTTTTGTTGGGAAAAGTTAAAGAAGATATTAAAAAGATATTTTTCTAATCTTTTAAAAACACACAAATAGTAGTGTGCCATGATTTAGAATTAGATTAATAAGATTCAAACTAATATTAAGATACCCAAACACGTTTATTTCAACTAAAAATATTTTATTTTTGAAAGATAATAATATATTTATTTATCAATTATATAAATATAAATAAATTATGTTTTAGATTTTCGCAAATATATTATGTTATATTAAAATTTCTCAGATATTTTTCTAAAAATATTAAAAAAAAAAAAAAAACAATCATAAAATAATATAACATAGTACAACTGGGTTTCTGGGTCAACTTGAAAATCGCCATTGGATCACTCACGTCCAAACTCCAAACTAGATGACATCCAATGATGCTTGACCATAAACGGCGAACCCATTCTTTCGTTAATATCAAAGTCCAAAGACATCTAATGGCATTTCTTGCAATTACTTACAAACCCAAGGGTAAAAGAGTCATATACCAAAATATTATATTATAAGAACTTTCGGGTTTATTAATTTCATGACACGCTTAAACCATATTATGAATGAGACTTTTTGTTGAGATGAAATGTCATCTATAACCAACTCCAATATAATTTTTATTTTGGTTAAATATAAAGTGGATTCAAAGTACAATCAACAGGCAAAAACATTATGAATGTGATGTCGACCAATAATAACACATGAATTATTATTTATTTTACACAAAAATATCTAACTTGTTTTTATAAATAATTATTAAATATTCAATTTAATTTTAAATGCAATATAGATGTGCGACTGTATTAAAAAAAGATATTATTGGGATTTTTAAAATGGTTTTAATGTTAAATATTTTATTTAAAAATATTAACATATTTCCATAATTTGCCATTTTTTATAATTAAAAAAATATGGTAATTTTTATGTTCTGATTGAATATAATAATAAAAAAACATGTTATTAAAATATTAAAATATTATATGTTTTTTGATGTAGATTTTCTGATCTAACTAGTATACAAGTGAAATTTTATACTAAAAAGTTATTGTTTTACGAACATATTTTTAAGGTAATCAAAAAATTAACTTAATTAGTCAATCACAATGTCAAATACAAAGTGACAAAATCCCACCCAATCTTCCAACTTCCCTCGATGTAACCAAACTTAACTAATGTTTATTGCTTTTATCTTTCTTTAGAAAATCATATCATTGAAGTTTTTGGTTCCATTTATTTAGTTCTATAACTTTTTTTTTTATTTTTTTTATTTTTTATTTTTATAAAAGATTAAAAGGAGTTCCCATCATATCATATAGTGGTATCATACGGTGGGGTCGACACACACAGCTAGTGAGTTTGGGTAGAGGAACACTATTTTATTTGGTGTTGTTTGTAGGGTGGTCTTTTTGTAGTAGAAAACTATTACAATTTTTTTCATATATATATATATATATATATATATATATATATAATATATATATATATATATATATATATATATATATATATATATATATATATATATATATATATATGCTAGACGATCGTCTCTATTATCCACTCTGTGGAACGGGCCTTACTAGTAAAAAATCATTACAAAATTTGAATTTTGAAGCAAACTAACCGAATTAATTTTGCTCTTTCTACAATCTATCAACAATAATATCAAAATGGTACTCCTCTTGATCTAAAACTGATGGTTGTGTTCATGACACCATCACACTACCTAAATTCGTTATCTCAACATCATATTATTTCTTTTCTCCACCAAGGGTGTATTCCATGCCAAATGTTACAACATTAATCCTAATAAAAAGGAAAGAAAGTTAATATAAAACAATCACTTTATATATGGTTAACTATCAACAAAAAGGATCAATGTTGATGGAAATGAAAACTCCATACCAAATTTTGAACCGAAATGACAATAGACTATATACTATATATAATAATAAAGATAAAAAATTTACTAAATTAATTATTTTTGGTAGAGAGTAGATTGCCAATCCATTTCCCCGATAAAGCTGGTTTTCCAGCTTTACCCCTCCAAGCTGTTCTCACTCTTCTCTCTCTTCTCGCTTTGGTATAAGTCCAGAGCTATCGGTTTCCATGTCCAGGTACCCTAAAATCGAGACTAGGGAAAGAAATTTGGGGAAAAAGTGAATTCATCGTATATTCATGGATCAAGAATTTCGGAGAATGGTCTCTTCTTGAAGAATGTTGCTTTTCACCAAGCGATTTTTCCTCCTAAGATCTGTCAACAAAATCCCTTCTATCAATTTATAAATAATTAGAATCTTACTCGATTCCACAGATCGAACAAGTATCAGAAGTATGGGAGGCGAAAGCAAATGGAGGAAGGTCAAGCTCGCTCTAGGCCTAAATACATGCCTTTACGTCCCTAAAACCGCCGACGACAATGAATCACCGCCGTCGCCGTCTTCACGCTCTCGTAAGAGTTCAGATATTCGTCACCGAATGCCCACGACTCCGACTCCTTCGTCCTCCGGCCTTCAGTTATCAAAATACGGTATTAAATCGTCGTCCAAGGTAACTTTGTTTACTATAACTCTCCTATAAGTATCTATTTCCGTTGTTTATCTCACTTTGCCGGGGTTTATCTCACTTCGCCGGGTTATGACGTATGATTGAGTTATTCGTTTGACTGAATTGAAGTTCTGCGATTGATTATCTTGTGAATTACTATGTGATTGTTAATTGAAAAGATTTGACATTTTCACAAGTCCCTGAATTACTATGTGTTTGTTAATTGAAAAGATAGAGATTTCAGAGAGATGAGTGGTCGAGCAACCCTTGAGAATCGGCTATTACACTCTGCTACAGTAAAAACATAGGATGTAATAATTCATGGTGAGATGTAAAAAGTTAAAATCTCTTTTTGGTCGCAAGTTGACTCTGATTGTAATCGACGAAAGGATTTTTTTTTTTAATGTAGTTATGAAATGCTTGCTAGTGGCTGGTAATTGCGACAGTGATATTACAGTACAGACGGCAGCGATGGCGATAACGATGGCTTCCTTATTTTATTGTCGTGTAGTTTTCAACTTTCCTTAATCATTTAGGAACGACCATTAATGCTTCTTTTAGGTTATCCTCTTTTCCATTGATAGTCCTTTTTAACTTTGAATGTCTTTGCTTGTATAGTTGTATTTTACTAAATTATAAATATTATTGCTATTATACAGTTCATCATCATCTTCCTTACTTTTTTACTTCCCCTTCTCGAAGGTAAAGTGCTTTATCTGGTCAACACCTTCACTTTTACAAATAAAACCTCTCTCTTCAGTCTTCCCTTCTCGTGGTTGAATTTATCCTTTTGGACTTTACTTGTGGAGCATAAGTTTAAGTTTAGCTTTTGAAAGAGTAGCAACTCTGTAACTTATTCTTATTGGGTTCCAATTCTTTTCTTTTACATGTGGCTTCTTTTCAGTATATGATTCATATGCTTTTCTTTATTGCCTTGAAACATTCATCATTGGAACACCAGTTGCTTAATGATGTTCACTTTAAAAAGTTTTAATTTTTTTAATCACCCAGAATAATCCACTCACTTGTTTGTTGGCCACCTAAAGTGATTTACAACTTGCATGATATTCTTTAAAAATTTAATACTAAACATGAATTTTCATTTGATTTGCAGAGGATTTGTGCAATATGTTTAACTACAATAAAACCGACCAATGGTCATGCCATCTTCACTGCAGAATGCTCACATTCCTTCCATTTCAATTGCATTACATCAAATGTCAAACACGGGAATCGCGTCTGTCCTGTTTGTCGGGCAAGATGGAAAGAAATCCCTTTTGAGAATTCCGGTTCTTCTCGCGTAAAGTCAAACACCAATTCCGGCTCATGGGCCCACAATGATTCCTACATGATTCTACAAGGATTACCCCCGCAACAACTCCATTCCAGTCGTAACGTCCCATTCCTATTCCAATCCCTCGAGCCTCCCGTCTTTGACGATGACGAGCTACTCAGCCAGACCCCCGAAGAAGTCTTTAGTAATTCCGATTCCGATCAAGGAATGGAAATGACAACATACCCTGAAATTTCAGCAGTAGCAAAGTCAACTCGGTTTGACAATTTCGCTATTTTAATAAACCTAAAAGCGCCTGTGACTAAAGGAAACATGAACTCACGAGCACCGATTGATCTCGTGACTGTTCTTGATATTAGTGGAAGTATGACGGGAACAAAGATTGCTTTATTAAAACAAGCAATGGGCTTTGTAATCCAAAATCTCGGCCCATTGGACCGGCTTTCAGTAATCGCGTTTTCTTCTTCAGCCCGACGCCTATTCCCACTCCGGCGTATGACGGAATCAGGAAAACAAGAATCTTTACAAATGATCAACTCGTTGGTGGCGAATGGTGGAACAAACATAGCCGAGGCCTTGAAAAAGGGCGCGAAAGTCATGACTGACCGGAAATTCAAGAATCCGGTCAGCAGTATGATATTGTTGTCAGACGGGCAGGACACGTACACCAGCATCAGCCCGAGAAAAAACGGATCCAAAACCGATTACCAATCACTTTTACCATCTTCTTTCCAAATCAAGAAATCCAATTCCGATTCCGATGTGATTCGGATTCCGATTCACACGTTTGGGTTCGGAATGGACCATGATGCTTCCGCGATGCACACTATCTCGGAACATTCCGGAGGAATGTTTTCATTCATAGAAGCCGAGAATGTTATACAAGATGCTTTTGCTCAATGTATTGGCGGGCTTTTAAGTGTTGTGGTTCAAGAGTTACGGGTCGAAGTCGAATGTGTTGATCCGGTTTTGAAACTCGGGTCGATTAAAGCCGGGAGTTATAAAGTGAATATGGGGTCTGATTTTCGATCCGGGTTTATTGAAGTTGGTGATTTATACGCTGAAGAAGAACGGGATTTTCTTGTGGGAATTGATATTCCGGTTGAAGAATCATCGGGTGATGAAATGTCATTAGTGAAATTCAAAGTTATTCATAAAGACCCGATAAAGAAAACCACCGTGACACTTGGTGGAAATGAAAACGTGACAATCTCGAGGCCGGAAACCACTGCCGGAAAACAAGTAGTTTCGATTGAAGTCGACCGGCAAAGGAACCGCCTTAACGCCGCCAGTGCGATAGCGGAAGCGCGGGTGGCAGCGGAACGTGGGAACCTGGCGGCAGCGACGTCGGTGTTGGATGATTGCCGGAGGAAGCTGTCGGAGTCGGTGGCGGCGTGTGGCGGAGACCGGTTGTGTGTGGGGTTGGTAGCGGAGTTGAGGGAGATGAAAGAGAGAATGGCGAGCCGGAGAGTCTACGAGTCGTCGGGTCGGGCTTACGTGTTGTCGGGGTTGAGCTCGCATTCGTGGCAGCGGGCCACCGCGAGGGGTGATTCAACGGAGGTGACAAGTGTGATTCAGGCGTATCAGACACCGTCGATGGTGGACATGGTTAATTTGTCGCAGACTATGTGTTTTAGCCGGAGCCCATCTTCGTCCATGGGTGCACAGAGTAAGAAGTCGTTGAGGTCAATACAGTCATTTCCTGCACCACACCCGAGGTGAAAGTGAAATAAAGGGCGATTAAAGTTTGTGTGGTTTTTGATGGGTGGGTATATTATATTGGATTAGTTGGGTGTAATGTAAGGGAATAATTCTTTTCTTTTGGGGTTGTTAGAAAATTGATTGATCCTAAACTTGGAAGAATGTATTCTTACGAAATTAAGGAAAAAAAAAAACGAAAATAGTGATATTGTATTTGTGATTTTTGTGCCCTCTTTAAAATATTAGGTGGTATTGGGGTGTTAGGGATTGGTTATGCTTGTTGATTTATTTGTTTTTTATTAAGTCAATAATATATATATATATATATATAACAATAATCATATGTGGATGGTTAACTATTGTGAGGTTGTAGAGACCAATAAAAAAAATAGTAAAATTTAAATCATTATCTAAATAAAAAATGATATACTTGTAATATTACATACATATATTAATTAATATCTAAAATTAACCATTAAAATTCCCCAATTTTAGGAATCGGTTTCTGAATTACCCTATTAAACCCCACATTCGTCAAATGACACTCATATCCATTCAAACCTCTTCTTTTGCATCAATATGCTACGGCTTGTAGTAGTTAATTTTCCACCGAAGACTTTTTTGCCGTCAAGTCCACAAAGCTTTTGACCTCTGCATTCTTACAGAAAGAACAGCAGTTTCTTTCTCAATTAATCTCCAAATACATAATCAAGTACATGAGTTTTGATGTTGATTATGATGACAACAAACTCATGTATAATCTGTTTATGGAGGAACGATTTCCGATGTTATCAAGAAACAAGGAAAGGCCACTTGATGAGTCACTGATCTGATCATATACTCATCAGATTCTACTTGGATTGGATCATCTTCACTGTAATAATTTGGTGCATTGTGATATCAAATGCCGAAACTTGTTGGTGTGCAAAGATGGTGTCAAGATCGGCAACTTGGGTTGAGCAAAGATGGTCGGAAACAATGGAGCCACCACATCTCAACTTTCCGGTACACCGGTTTTCATGGCACCTGAGATTATAATCTGATTCAGTCTGCATTATTTTATTTTCCACCAGTACAAATTTATGATTTGTTTTTATGAACCAGCACAAGGACAAAGGCTGAATTATCTTTTTTTTTTTTTTTTTTCCCACAGGTATAGATTTTTTTTGTTTGCTTATATCCGATTCATCCATCATCAATAATATTTTGCTTTGCACTATATTTTTTTTATCATTTGAAGGATGTGATGCTTCTTGTTTCAGATTCTAGGGGGCTGGGTTAAAATTCTAGAATCATTTTTAAAGGATGTGAGCTTACCTTATTTATATAAAATTACTACCTATAAGGGAGATATTTGAGTGGAAAATCGGAAATTAATGATGTTCTTCATGGGAAATTGATACCGCAAGGAGATATGTATCATTGTTTATTTTTCTACATTGCTTTATGTATTTTGCATTTGAAATCATTAGATGTTCATAGTTATATAACTATGAGAAAGTTGAAATTTCTAGATCATTGCTTTTCCAGAATCAACATTCCTATGATACTTTGTTAATTCCAAAGTCTTGTTCTAGAGTTCATTATAATTTTGGATTTTTCATTTGGGTTTTTGTTCTTTTAGTAGAATAAGAAAAATGGAATTGAAATCCCTACACCATCTCTCCTACGAATAATCAAATCCATCAAACATGGAATCTTAAATTACATTTGATCTGTAACGGCCGTAGATCCGTGTTAGTCACTTTAAAGACAATGAGCGTCAAAAATGATTTTTTTATAGAACATTATTTAGAATAATTAATCTTAACCAAGTTATAGTATGTTTCACAAAGGTTCTATTCATATAAAGAACGCCGAAATCCGAGTTATAACAAATAAATTATGACCCGTCGAAGTTTTACAGCAAAATCGGCGCGGCACCGGGAATCGTAAAAAAGTGAATTTACGACAAAAATACTTTCTAGCCTTAGAGATCTATACGAAAGTTGTGGTATATGTTAAACTGAGAACGTGCATAAAAAGAACGTCCAAATCTGACTTCGTATGAAGAAATTATGCTTTTTCTAAGATTTATCATAGCAGTGCACAACCCGAAATTCGAATTTTAGATCAGTCGATTTCAGCCAAAATAATCTAAACGATAAATGAAGATATCGTTAATAGGAGTTAAACGATAAAAATACAGATGAAAACGGAGCTCGAATGCGAAAGATATGGACGAAGCTTAGTCTCTACTCTTCGAGCGCAGCAAATTCGATACAGTTTTGTAATTCTGAGATAGAATGAGAATTAGTCAATGGTGTCTAAATGAAAGTTGTAGTAATCATAAATACCAACACGTGGATATAAATAACGTTGAAAACGATGCTCGTATGCGAAAGATATGGATGAAGCTTAGTCTTTACTTTTCGAGCGCGACGAATTCGAATACAGTTTTGTAAATCTGAGATACAATGAGAATTAGCCGACGGGGTCTAAATAAAACTTGTAGTACTCGTATTACCAACGTGTGGATATAAATAACGTAGAATGCGGAGCTTGTAGGCGGAAGATACAGACGAAGCTTAGAGACTACTCTACGATAAGATCCCTATAAATAAAGGATGAATCATTATTCATATTTAATCACGGTAAATATTAGACTAAAATCTAGTGGTAATAATACTAGGTTTCATCGAAGGAAATTATATTGTTAAAAAGTGAAGCGTTGTCCGAGTTTGGAATCATCACTTTAACAAGTGAGTGCATAGTTACTTTCATCTTACACATAGATATGAAGTATTTATTTAAATTACGTGTTGTGAGTGCATAATTACTTTGATCTTAAACATAGATATGAAGTATTTTATTTAAATTACGTGTTGTGAGTGCATAGTCTCTTTCATCTTACACATAGATATGAAATATTTTAATATAAATTACGTGCTATGTGTGCATATTGTCTGAATACTTGCTGTCTATGCTGGGTGAAAGATTTTTATATATGTTTTAAATGATTTAAACTGTATATGTATTTTATATCTACAAAATGTGTTGGGTAAAACATGGATAGATGAAATAGATGATGTGTGATGAAATAAAATGATGAGAGATAGGTGATGATAGATAGGTGATGATGAATCGGTGATGTAGGATGAAAGATACTATAATCTTGTCCGACAATTTAGAGATGTAGTCATCTACCAAAGTATAGATGGTGACCACGGACTATTATAAACAACCCCGTGGAAACACCAACAGATTCATCACCTGTAGGTGATGAATTACGAGTTCAGACGATGTTGTAACTACGTATTCATGCGATGATACTCTAAACCCTTACTATGAATTACGAGTTCAGGCAATGTTGTAACTACGTGTTCATGCGATGATACCCTAACCCTTGTTGGGCACATATTGAGGGAGTAATCCCCGAATCAATATTATCTATGCGATGTAAGTGATGATCCTTCGGGAGAGTCCTTAGGAACAAACATATAAGGAAATGTCATGTAAGGAGATGAGAGGTAAATATGATGTAGGAGACGACCCTTAGGATAAATCCTTAGGGAAAGTACTTAGGAATAAAGAAGATAATGAGGATGAGTAATTGGGTTAATTGTTTGATGATTAAACATAATAATTATATTATTGTGGGTTGAAAACTCTATGTACTCACCAGGTTTCCCAACCTGACCCACTCATTTTACTTGTATCACAGGTGACGATGTGAAGTTACATTACACTGAGAGATCAAGGAGATATAGATCACCAGTATAAATGAATGTAAGTTCTATTTATGCTTATGTTTCTGTATTGACGATGACATTTGTAATGCCCCGATTCTCAGGTATTGTTTTAAATAAGATTTCTTGGGTTAAGCCCTACTCAACGAGTTGGTTGCCCTACTCGTCGAGTAGCAGCGGGGTGGGACCGCGTGTTAAGTGACCTACTCGATGAGTCCATATTGGGACTCGGTGAGTAGGAGCTGGAAGATGAAACCCTAAATCCCGGGGTTTGTACCCCTATTTAAAGGGACCTTAGCCTATCTTGGACCTCTTTACAGTTCTAAAAGAGTCATTGAGAGCCCTTATTCATGTGTGTGTTCCTTGTGTGTGTTTGAAGCTTGAAAAGAGGATCCTTAGAAGGAGAAGACTTGGAGGAGAAGGAGATTGGAGCATTAGAGTGTTGGAATCAACACTCATCTCATAAATTATCTTCCAGAGGTACCCAAATCGCCATTTTTCTTGTAGATCTCTTCCATTGGTTGAGTTTTAGGGTTTTTCTTGGAATATCAAGTTGGTATGATGAGCCATGGGCTAGATCTGAAGTTATAACTTTAGATCTGGACCCTCTTTGAATTCTAGAAACATAAAGTTACAATTTTGATCATGATTGAGGCCCCTCTTGAGCATGAACCCCCATTAAGAGCTTAGATTTGGCATTTGGAGCCTTTAAAGCCATGCATGCACGTAAAGTTTGCAACTTTACGTGGTAAACATGCCTTAGAAGCTTGGATATGTGAGTTGGAGTCGCTGCATGGATCTAAGTAGGTCTGTATGGAAAAAGGAATGAATGGACTCAGCGAGTCGCAAGGTTGACTCGGCGAGTCACATGAAGATGTTCGTGAACTCGAAGAGTTGGATGAACAACTCGGCGAGTCCGATGAAAATTGCCATAAACTCGACGAGTTGAAGAACAACTCGGCGAGTCGGATGAATTTTCTCCAGGATATGTATACGTGTGTATCCATCGAGTTGCAAGGAGGAAACTCGACGGGTGGTCTTAAAGTTTGATCGAGAATCGAAGGAACTCGACGAGTCACCCCGATGACTCGGCGAGTTGGAAAGTGCTTCAAGGAACTCGACGAGTAGCCGAGGGTACTCGGCGAGTTAAGGTCAACATGGACTGTTGACCTTGACTAAGGACTTTGACTTTGACCATGGGTTTACTAGTGGGTTATGGAGTACCTTATAAGGTTAAGGACTTATGAGTATATTGTATTATGGTAATAGGTGGTGGAGCCTGTGTCAAGTGACCCGAGAGTTAGAGTTTATCTTCCGAGTCGACATCTGCAAGGTGAGTTATCCTCACTATATCGATAGGGTCTACGACACCAAGGCCGACCCATTTAGTTTTTATTGTTATGGTATGCTACATGTGGTTATGATCTGTTAGATCGGAATCAGGGTAGACAATATGTTATGCTCTTATGATCCGTGGGGATTGGTATGATAGTGACCTACTAGGTCGATACTCTAGTTACAGGAGAATTCTATGATTGATGATCAGTGAGATAGATATGTTTGATGTTGTATATGCCAGTATATGATAGTTATGCGCACATGG